GGACATTAACTCTGTTTGAAATGATACGAGGTACCGTAGAGGTAGAGTCAGTGACTTCCTATCTGACTCTAATCGCTGTCTGTTTGGAGCCAGAAGGGCGTTAACTCTGTCTAAAATGATAGAGTTGCTTTTTGGACTCTATATTGTCTATTTGTCCCTAGAAGGGCATGAACTCTGTTTAAAATGGGTAGAGTCGGGTGCCTTTCTGGCTCTATCACTCTTAGCAGACGACAATGTTTGGACGCTGGAGCAATAAGGGCGTATACTCCAACAAACATGTGCTTTATTACAGGCTACTGGCTCTAAATGATGATATCACCTGTTGACAGCCAAAAGGGCAATTTGTCTCTTTCTGAAATAATATGAGTTACTGCTTCCTGGCTCTGGACATATAATATATTCAGCTGTAGGGTTGGTATGGGAGAGTGACCATCAAGTTCTTGAGATTACCATACTGCCCTACTGACCGCCACTACACCATCTGACCTTTTTGAAGATCAGCGGAATATCTAGCCTGCTTTCCAGGTGGAATGGTGTGTTTTGTATATACATGGATATCTTGACAAACATCTTTGCTAAGTCTGGGATGAAGGCTAATTTTCTTGTCACTTTTATAACATTTATCATTCTTGTGTGGCAAACTGGCAACTAGTCAAAATCTGCAAATGTTTGTTGCATTTTTTTTTTTTTTACAGTTTAAATACAGACTAGATTCATAGTTGAAAGATTTTACTCTCAGTAATGATGGATGAATTTGAGTACCGGTACATGGGATAGTAAAGGGACTTTATTTTTATGAAATTGCTTGAAGGAAAAAAAAGAGGAGAAAGACAGGATCGGTGTCGTCTTGTGGTATTAAAGTCCATGATGTAGCTTAGTAGCTTACTAATACCATGGAGCAATGGTCACCATATTAATTCATCAATTGCTCCTGCGTCACTTATTCTGGGTTTGGTATTATCAAAGACATGGTTAGGGTCGTAATTGTGTTTTTAGACTAGGGTTAGGGTTAGGAATTGGGTATTTAGACAAATCTTACTTTGTCAGACCGTGACTCTTATTTATTTTACTTTTATCGATATTCTACGAAGCTTTGCATCTAGCCCAACTTGCCAGTCTCTAACAAAAGCAGTGAAACTTCCATGAAAAAATTTAATGACCGTCATTTTTCGTGGCAAGAAATTTCAGACTGATTATCCAAAATTTGTGTTGTGATAAATGTTACTTTGTTATTTTGGGCATGAATATTGCGCAATCCTCAACCAGTTGCGAGAATTGAGAGCGCTTCTTGCTCGTGAAATTGTTTGTTTTTACAACAGTCCAGGGCCTAGGAGGTGCAGTCTAGTCTTAAAGATCAGACCCTGTGATAAGTTATGACTTCTAACCCATTCACACACTGATGAGACCGGCCCCAGATTGACAGTAGACTGAACAGAAAAATATATAAATAATACTAGGGATGATGATGATGATAGATTGTGTTAAATCATGTATTGTGAAATACACATTCGAGCATCGTTTTAAACTAAAAGCTGATAAAAACAAATCTGGGTCTCACTCTGGTCTGATTGTACACAAACTGTATAATTAGGGTTAGGGCCTATATTGGAGTGCGCCCTGAAGATTGGCCTGCTGTCATGCCAATTGACCTTTTCAAAACAAGTTTCTATTTTTTATTTTTTTATTTTTTATATTTTGTTTACCTTCATATACCTGTAAGATGTTTCTTTTTAAGATGTTGTTATTCTATTGTGTATGCCCCTTTTGCTATAAGATGGTTTTATACAGCTTTTATTTATACGTAACTTATAAATATCCTTTCAGTACTGTGAATGGGCTATAGTACGGATCAAGTTTATACCTGTAAACAAATTCATGCACGCATGTCTCAGGGTCTGGAGAGTTTCACATCCTATGTGATGGAATGCGGAATATGCGAAGAATGCCAGCAATGAGGCGGGGGATACAACTGAGGTCTCTGTGTCACTGTAGCTTGCCCGGTAGTGCTGTCAGAGAATCATCGGACGTGACTGGATTCGTGCCACTTCCAGATTGAAATTCTAGCTTGATTCTTTTTGTATATGATGTTTTACCTTGGTCCTACCACCAAACCGACTCCTAACCGGTTTATTCTTTGCCATTCGGGGTGATGTAAATGGTCTTTTGTCAGTCTTCGCCCTGTTTCAGTGAAAATTGTTTTCAGTAACAAACGCTAAATTTCAATAGCAAATTTGGTCTCAGCCTATCAAATGCCACAATTTCCGTAGCTTAGGCCAAATAAAAAAAAAACATGTTTAGCGTCCTGTTTTTTCGTAAAATAGGAAGGAGGAGGAGGCCCTTTATATTTTTTATTTTTTCTTTCAAAATGGCCGCTCAAAATGGCCGATCGGTACATTTTCCCTGACAGTCGGGGCTATTTTTTTTCAAGATGGCCACCGACAATTTTTTGAATTTTTTTTATAAGAAATAGAGCCATTTTAGCAGTGTTTTTCATGTTTTTTTTCTTTCAAAAAAAATAAATAAAAAAATAAGAGGCGGCCCCAAAAAGGAAGCGGGCGGGGACACTAAACATGTATATTTTTTTAAATGGCCTAACAAGTTTTCTAAAACAGGGCTCAGGTGTCAGTCTTGTAGGTGTGAAGGCGGATGGGCTAAAAGAAGACGATGAACAATTGTTTTCATTCTACATGTACATGTAGTTATAAAGGTATTGACTTATTGATCCTTATACCTCAGTCCACCTCACCAATAGAGTACCAAAGCTGTGACGTCATAAAAATCTATTTTTAGAATTTCTCAATTTTTTCTTCATTTTCCGAAAGAACATCAAAAACAATGTCCAAATGTCGAAAACCAATTGAACATGTCAAGCATTGGCTGAGATATGACCATCTGAATAAATATACTCCCCATAGGAACTCGGTGTTATATTCTCTGGCTCCTAATGGTTAGGAGCCATAGCATATTCATTCAGATGGTCCAATGGCTTCTATTGGTAAATCAATAATGATAAATCAAAATTGATTTCAGCCAATACTTCATATATTCAATTGGTTTTCGAAATTTGGACATTATTTTTTATGTTCTTTCGGAATATGAAGAAAAAATAGAGAAATTCTAAAAATAGATTTTTGATGACGTCACACTTAACCACTCTATGGGACCGCCACCAGACCGAACAAACAATTACATTGTATATTAACACAAATGGCCCAAAATTGGTCGGTCTGGATTTGGTGTGGAGTCGGACCTGTCTGTGTGACTGAGGTATTGATATCATCAATTTGAAAGGTGGGGGAGGTCAATCCTTCTAGTTCCAGATTGAAATTCTGGCATGATTTCATTTGATGATGAAATTGTACAATTCAATGTTTTATTACTGCATTGCATTATACAATTTTGTACTCTAAGACACTCACAAGATTTTATTCTTCTCCATCATATAGGCTTAGTTAAGGAGTTATTTTACAGGATGATTTTCAAAGTGTGTGTGTGTGTGTGTGTGTGTGTGTGTGTGTTTTGAGGTGGTTTGGGGGGGGGGGGGATCAGTCCTAGGACTCCTTCCCAGTCCGTAAATACATCAGCCATGGTATAGAATTCCTCTTTTTATTCTTTGGACTCGTATGTTAATTGACTTGCGAAAATAGACCTTTTTCTATGACCCTGCCATCCCCCAAATGGTGTGTCCTTTCTCCTAATTTGAATAACAGGGACTCTATGGCTTTCGCAGAGAGAATAATGCCTCTTTCATACTTGCGAGTAAAGCTTGGGTCAGACTGAAAACCGTGTTATGTATTACATGTAGCAGGGGTTGTTTTCAATCCAGGTTTAAAGGGGGTGCGGGCAGGGGAGGCGGGCAGGGGAGGCGGGCAGGGGGGGGGGGGGGAGACAAAAAATAAAATAAATAAATAATAAAAACAAGAGTGACATAGGGGCATTCTAGCAAAGAGAATTGACTTACTTTGATTCATATTTTAAATCAAGGACTGCTCTGCACTGCTTTTGAAACAAATTTTTCTGTTACACTAATAACATGATTGAAAAATGGGTGCACTTTCTGCGGAAACAGTCTAATTAACAGAGCTTTATTTTGTTCAATATTCAAAATTTTCTCGAGTTTCCTGTGGAAGTATGCTGGAGAAATGCTATTGAATTGCTACATGTCGCCAAATGCAGTTCTACTAACTACTTTTTGATTATACATTAAATTACTTCCTAGTCTCATTAATATGCAAATTTGTGGTTCTTAGGATTACAATTGTGTGAATTTTTACCTAAATTGTGAACCTTATCATAGTTTGCTAGCCCTAAAAACTCATTGTCAATATATTTTTTCACTTCATCAACAATCCTGAATAATTTTAAGGCAGTTTGCTATTTGCAGATGTTTTCTCTCATAATCAACAAATTTGAATGCAATCATTAAAGTACTTTGGGGGCTTCATCGTGTTGAAGTTTAACTAATTATAGTGCGGTATTTTAAGCGCTGATCCATACAGCATTACCATCGATGACGGAGAGAATGGAAGTGCCTGCTTTGTTTGTCTTTATGTGTTGGTACCTTTCTCAGTGAAGTTACTAAAGAATATGAACAATGAACTAATCAAAATTGTTCAATTTAATTAGGAATAATTAAGGAGTTATGCAGTCTATCAGAACTGGTAGGTTTGAATACAGTTTTAGGGGAGAAATTATCAAATTTGCGATTTTAGTTGCTTGATTTGCAATTTTAAAAAGCTTAAATTTTTTCAACTGAAGCAACAGGTAAATACATAAAAGGGAGTGATTTTCACTTGAAATGGGAAATGTAGCCATGGTGTTCCACTGATCTAGATTTTGGTGAGTTCCGTTACGTTACGCACAGACCGTTGCTTCATGACCCCGATTCATTTACCGTGTGAAGTCAGTCCCTCCGAGTTCACTAGTGCTGGATCCCCCACTCTGCCGCAGTGGAAACTTCCGGGGTGGATGGGGACAGTGGGGGAAACTGCACTGGGGGAATATGCATGCTGCCGATGTAAGGGGGGACAAAGAGAGCTGCATTATGCATGCATGAGTACGCTGCCCATAGCTGCGAATGCCGAGGATACCCCTGCTTTTTCGAGTGCTATAAATAGCTGTGGGTGTCTGTGTGTAGTCTGTGTATGGAGAGATGTGGAAGGAGGCACCTTATTTTTCATGTGTGTGCCATAAAATTAATACCAGCTAATGAATTTCATTTTTTTCATACATGCAGCCAGTCGCAGGGGCTTGTTTGTGTATGTATCTGTGCATATAAGCTTCTGGAATTGGAGCTCCGGTCTGATCAAGGTTAAAAATTCAACAGAGTCCGGCATGGTATTCAAAGCTGGAATATATTAGTATGGTTTTCCCATACAAAGCCTCCAGGGGGGTACAGGGATAATTTTGCGAGTGTGTCCACTATAGTCGGGCATGGTTCTGCAGACATGTGTGTGTGTTTGTGTGTGTATGTGTGAGATTTGTATACTGAAGGAAAGACAGGGAAAGAAATGGAGAGAGCAGGTTAGAGAGGGCTAGTCAGTGAATTTGGGCAGAAAATTTGCTGGTAGAAGGTTGCAGGAAGCCGGTTGGCTGACAGAGTGCCTTTGCTGCATAGCTAGCTGTAGGTAGTATGGTGGAGTTGAGGTCTCTAGCTCACAAGCCATACCATACAATATTGTATGTTCATGTAAGGCATGAATGAAGACAGAGCTGCTCAAAAGCTTGGGCTAGTATGACGGACGGACGTGGTATATTTACTGACGCCCTGGTTCATTACATTCACCTTGTACACTGTATAGATTGAGGGTAATCTTTGACTTTGGCACAGGCAGACAGCCAGGCCAAGCCAGGATAGGCTAGCCAGCTCCAGAACAGAAGGGTGTACCAGAGGTGTGCATGCATGGGATTTTATTTGGAATAAACACAGCTGTCTTGGACTTTGGTATATTTACTTGGATTTATCATGAGATACAAATACGTTTTTGAGGCCTGCGAATCACAGAGACTGTGCTATATCTGCTTGAAACCTTGATGAGCACACAGTACCTTATAATTTGCTTTTGGAGATTATTAGGACCATATGAAGAGCTACATTTGCTTAGCGTGTACCGTTGTTAATACAAGTTTGCTTCATTTGTTGTTCGTGTCTTTCAACAATAACATTAACAATATTGCATCATAGATGAAGGCTTGTGCCATCATCCACACATTTTTGTCTCATTGTGGATTCTTGTAATGCCAGGACTTTCATTTCTACCAACTTTGAACAGCACTGACTATAGTTCAGACTTGATGAAAATAGCATAAATATGTTTCATATATTTCAAGCAGTTGCAATTGGAAATTGCTAATCGTGTCAACAGAAACTAGCCCCAGCTCCATGTGGACATTACTTCCGTCTTGGAAATCTAGCTTTGATTGTTGAGGGGGGGACAGACGAAACAAAAAAAACCCAGGCCATCCCATAAATCTTAATTCATCGAAAACATAAGCCAGGGTCTACCCTTAGAGAGAGAGAGAGGGAGAGGGAATAGAGAAGACAAAAAGTGAGAGCGTATGATGTGTATGGCTCTCACTGTCAGCTGAGAGAAGACTGTAGCCTACTCATTGTGCGGTGTGAAACTATGAATTGCATTGGATAGCTGCCAAAGAAGGAGGGGATTTCTCTTCTCTCCACTACTACTACTACTACTACGACTACACTCCAGACAGCTGTGTGTAGGGAGGGATGTGTGTGTCCTGCGTGCCGCCGCAAAGCAGTGCACCACGTCTAGTATACCGGTGGTGCTGTGTATGTACCGTCCAGTTATACATGTGCCTGCCCTGTTTTATAGGCTTTTTTATTTAGATGGGCATTTAAAAATACCATGCAGACCTCCCTATCCTTGGTAGATATCGAAGAGCCCCTCCCCTTTTTGTAGAGCACATAGTAAAGACCCTGTAGGAATACACACATATGACCGGGATAGAACTTGAAACTAGGCTTGGCACCGGTTCATGTTAATGTTTTGAAAGCATATTTGTTGTGTGCCTTTGCTTTGGCAGTGTTGTCAGGTACATGCCATCAAACTCAGGGTTCATTCGCTGGCCAGGGTTCTAATATTAAGTCGCCTCCCCTGCCTGCCTGCCTGCCCAAACATGACTGTTGTTATTGTTATACATGCAAACATCGCCTGGGCTGGGCCCCTGTAAAATGTGCACAATGCTCTAAAGCTGTCCATGCAATGCTTTTATAGGGGGAGAGGTCGAATTATAAGCTTCTTTAATACAACAGACATCGCTCTATAGAAAATGACCCAGAGACTCTAGAGGATTAGCTGTCCACCCATCACATTCATCGGTCAAGCGTGGGTATTTAGTGGTCAAGGTATTTGCATAACAAGTACAGTGGACCGGGTCCTTGGTGCTGAAGCCACGGGTCAAGCTGACCGCTGTAGACTCGACTGGACATTTGTTCTGGACCATCATCACTTACAGTGGATATAAATATATACCGGTAGGCTTGTATGCCAGGGACGAACAGGATAAACTTTATGAGTGCCAAGTTGAGACCTAAAAGCGGAGAAAGAAGGACTGTTAGGCGTCAACTCGTTTAGGTAAGTGACTTAAAACATACTTTCCATGCTAAAGCCAACTACAGGTGAATTCCTGTACTACTTGTACTTTTATCAAGGCTTGTATGTGCTCTGTACATTCAGGGATATGTATACAGCACTAGTACAATATGCCCTCACATGTTGTGGCTATGTGCAGGATAGATTTGGAAGCCTAATGCATTGAAATGTATAACTTTGTTCAAATGCGGTGTAATTCCATTTGTATAGGCTCATCTAATAGATATATGCAGGCTTTGAAATGTAGGGCGGTCAGGTCAAGGCTGGTCTGTGTATAAAGGATGGGTGCTTGTAAAAGCATGGATGACCGTTGTGAAGACCGCTTTACAATGCATATTAGCTTTATCCCTTGGCTGGGTAGGCCTATATTTGCGTAATTTATAGCTTATAAATGTAGGTCAGATATGTGTTTATTTGAGTGGTGTAGATTAAGAAATCATTTTTATTACATGTAGCCTACATGGCAAAGTATTATAAACATGAACAAGTGTTGTTTTCTTCTTAATTTCTGATATCCATTTTCTGATATCCAACATTGTGTCAAGCACATTGATCTATAATCAGAACACTGAATGTAAACCACGTAGATTTGCAGAAGAGAAACCTTATTTTAAAATTTGTCCCTGATCTAGAAAAATGGAAGAAAATAATGTAAGATGTTTTGAAAAAGATTTGTCCTTTAATATGCTTTTTTGTTGCTGGTTTGTTGCAAAAACAACATCAATGAAACCTTATATTTTATTATCAGTAATTAACTTCATATCCATATATTTAAGTCTTTTTTCTTTGTTGAATTGGAGCGAGGAATGTGTTCTGTAACATTAGGAATAGTACACTATTGTCATGTTTTTGAGATGTAACAGACTATAGACTCCATCCTGAATTAGTGACCGGTTCAATAAAACCTATTGATGAGCAGCAAGCCTGGATCCAGCTCTTTATTGTCTGACCAGGTCGTCCAAGGGTCAGTCACTAGCACATGTATTGATAGGTGATGTGCTAATAGTTCTAGTCTGCAAGAACAGACTCTGTTTGACATTTTTACACAATTCCATGAATCCTTGGGCCGAGCCTAATTCTGTCAGTGTCAAGTGTAACTATAGTACAGAGCCTATGGAGTGCAGTAGATCGTGAGATCTTCATAGTCTTAACAGTTCAGACCCTGAAATGCAACCGACAAGAAGTTGTGCCTTCAAACCAGTCACATGCTACATGTAGTACGTCTGGCTTCATTGTATGTGTACTGTATTCATTCTAGTACATACAAGTTATTGATTCAAGTTGTTGTGCCATAACATCGCGTGCAGTGTAGATTTACTGTTATTGTTCATGAATGCACTTCAAGTTATACAAATATATGTGTTGAATTGGAGGCCATATCCAAATCAAGGGAAGCAATATATAAAAATTGTATTGTCTTTATTGAGATAAAAGGGCGTTAACTCTTTATAAAGTGCCCTCGGGGTGGGAGGGGTACAAAGCAGAAAAAAGGTTTCACAAGCGTATTATATTTAAGGAACCTGATTCACTCTAACAGTATATAACAAAAATAAATTTATGTGAACAAAAGCTCTGCCCCCCTCCCAAGCCACCATTGCTATTGTAGTATTTCGTGTGAACGCTCCCTCAGGACCTTGCAGTGTGAACAGGCTACTTAGCAGAAGAAAATCCTTGCTTGAAAGGTGAAAGATAATGAATTCCAATGGACTAATTTGTGCTTAAGGTTGTTCATAAATAATCATTTAATTAATATGAAACTGCTGAAATGAGCCTTGAAAGTGAAAGTGTCGTTGATTGCTCTAACCATGACTTTGTAATAAACGTGTACAAAAACAAAATAATGGCTTTCATTAGATACTTGGAATAGGAAAACAATGAAGGCCTCAGACTCTAGATGTAGCAATGAAAAGGATAGTTTTTCATTGAGATAATCGAGATAGACAGATTATAGATTTTATAAGAGAGAGAGAGAGAGAGAGAGAGAGAGAGGAGGAGGGAGAGAGGGAGGGAGAGAGAGAGAGAGAGAGAGAGAGAGAGAGGGAGGAAAGGAGGGGGGGGGGATGGAGAGAAAGTGAGACAGAGCTATGGATCGATGGAGAAAGAGAGAAGAGGGAGTGAAAGAAACAAATTCACCTGTAGCAAATTGATTGCGTCAATGTGCTCAAGTTTATGCTGATTTCCAGAAGATTGGGTTGCGTATTTCGTAGGCTTACAGCGGCTCTATTTTCGGCACATAACATGTCGCTGTGAAGTATTTCCGGAGACGGTTACAAAATGATGAATATTTGATTGAGCAGAACCCACATTTACTAGAAAGAACTGAGTGGGTGATTATGAATTAAAGATTTTGACTAGTAGTATTTCCCATACTTCTATATAGCCGCTGGGCTAGACACTTCCTAAAATGATGAATTGCCTTGGGTGGGTGGGAAGCCAGTGCCAGTGTTTGGTTGAATTCAAACAATTCTTTAAAACCATTTAAAATTGTTCCATTTGAATCAACCTTGATATCTTTTCATAATGTCTGGTTACTTCCATTTTGTATTTCATATTTTTTTATTTAATTTAAAAAAAAAAAAAAAAAAAAAAAAGATTATGAAGTGTAGATCAGATTTCATATCAAAATATTGATATGGATCCTGGCTAAACATTATAGGAATCAATTTTATGTGAAGGAGACCTAAATTTATTTGAATGGGATACCTGCCCCTGCAGAGCAGTTCTGGAACAGCACCCCTAAATCTACTGTTTCAAACTTTCAATAAATCCTATTTTCCTGGTGCAAAGTGGGTGGGATCGAGCTACGTGTATCAGCTCAGGTGAATGTAAGATCTGCAGACTTCTTGTTACTAATTTGTTGTCCGTCGATCTACGTTTTGATTGCCATGGGGCATTTGAACAGTTTTGTTATTAATGGGGCTAGTAATGTATAGCCCCTTTTCAGGACTTATTTTTTTCATGTTGTGACACAACAATCACAAGAGAATTTTTTTTCCATTATGAAGGTACCTGAATAGCAAGCAACCCAATCTTGATTATTACAAATCTTACGGATGTTTGTAAACAAACCCATGGTGTACTGTAGTCACACTTTTGCAATAGTGCAGATCTTTAAAAAAAAAAAAAAAAATCACTTATGAAGTAATCGTGCAAGCATGTAGGTGAGGCTTCATTCAATGTGTAGAATAGCAGCACATATTTTTGTGAAAAGAGGGAAAGGGGAAAAAAGACTGTCATACTTGCACAAAAGGATGACATCAGTTTAAATGACAGCATGCCAGTCTGATTTGGTATAGCTCATTACCCATCTTGATCAAATTTGTCTGAGTACATGTTAGTGTACCCATAGATCTAACCTCACCCAATCAGACCGACCAACCGACAGGACATTATTAATAAAGTTTCTAGTAACCACATTGGTTTGGAAAGGTGCCCATGTCTGTACACTGCAGTAGCCTCTAACTCTTGTAAGGAAGAGTATGTGTTTATCATTGATTTCTACATATAAAACCGGAACAAAAAGTGCCGGTTTGGGGGGGGGGGGAACAATTAAAAAGTGAAAGGATTGTCGATAACAAGTTATACTTATTTGTAATTAATGTTCTTGCAGACCTACATATCAAAATATAAAAAGACCAACCCTCTTTTTTTTAACAGTCCTTAAAACTTTATTCCTATTTCCTTAAGCAAGTGCCCCCTCATTGAAGGATATAAAGTAAAATGATCAGTCTTTGTTTATTTGTAATTCCCACCTCGCCCCCACACACAAAGGAAACTACAATGAAATCAGCCCTCATCGTTTTTAAATAAGCGAATGACCCCCCCCCCCCTCCCCACCTCCATACGAAGGAAATACTAAGTGAAATTATTGCTCTTTGTTTCATCCGACTGCTATGGTTTTTAGGGGGTTAATCCCACGTTTTCTGTCATGCCTGTGGACAGACGACCACCTTGCTTTTCCATTGTGATCTCATTCATGTTGTCACCCTGTTGTATAGAACCTCAGTTTGACACTGTGCCAAAAAACATGACCAGAAAGGGCTCTACCAGAAACATTGAAACCCACTTTTTCTTTGTGTGCTGCGGGGGAAAATTTTCGACTCTTTGTTTCAGATTCTAGTCCATCCCGGAGGAAAAATGTTCTCTTTCTTCAAATCAGGTTGTTTGGTTCTTTGTTTTCCTTTTTCCTGAAAAGTCAAAAGGAAATGTGCTAGAAAGTAGAAATCTTTTGTTCTGGGAAAGTATCCTTAGTTGTCCTTGTGTTGTACTGTACATGTACTCTACTTTTGCTTTCGGTATTAAAGGGTTGTTCTCATTCCTGCCCCATGTATGTGGAGAGTAGCCCCTTTTCAGACTAGCAAATGTTGTGGTATAGCTGTACAAAAACCATGTAACTATGCAGTATATTCTTAAATTTCTTGTGTGAATGCCATAGAATGAAACACTGTATACTGTGAAATGGGAGGTTCGATTATCATGGTGTGAATTAAAAAATTAAAAAACTATCAAACACCATTTGGGCTTATAAATTGCGAGTGTGCATATGTTTTGATTTAATTCACATTTTTCAGATTATTCATGATATATAAATTTACAATAGGAGAACAGTGCTTTTACAAACCCTGTCATATGAACGAAACCATAGATATTTGTTCAAATGGTCAATCTGTGAACAGTGCTTCCTGTCATTAAAATTGTATATATTTTTTTTTAGAGACAAAGAACTGATTCATAAAAAACTGTCAATAGCTGCATTTACATTGCAACCAAAAATGGTTGATTTTTCTCACATTCTGGTGTTTCGTCGGTAATTGCTTAGCAACTATTGGCAAACACACACACACACACAAAATCGAAATTGTGTTTTTTTTGTTTAATAATGCCTGCCGAAATTTCACAGATTTTTTTTTTTTGTAGTGTAACTGCAAACTTCGTTAAGGTACCGATTTTCACTCTCAAGTGACTTTCCTCGCTTTCGTGCT